GGAGAGAGAAAGACAGAGAGAGGGACAGAGAGAGAGGGAGGGAGAGAGAGAGGGACAGCGGGAGAGATAAAAGGCAAAAGAAAAGAGAATCAAACTCAGATGAATGCTGACGCTCAGATACTGAAGCTAAGAGAAGCAGCCATGTCTCACTTCTTGCTTCTTCCACATTGTCTTAAATGCAATTCAGTGCTTAAATTCACTGACTGGTAACTCTGAAAATGTGCTCAAGAAACAGATCTTTGAAGGAAAAATTCCTAAGATGAACCTACAGTGAAATAGTTTTCAAAGTAGAAAGCCTTTAGTTAACTTCTGTGCTGTCTATATAACAATTAAACTCATTTCTATGCAGATTAACTTCCACTCCTTAGGGTTGTACAATTAAAATATTCTGAGGTAGGGAAGGAATGGGTTATTTTTGGGTGAGCTCCATTATTTCTTCCTAAAAGCTCTATCATTCAGTGGTAACTAAAAGTGGCTTTGGAAAATATGAGTTAGAGCTATGTGATTATCATAACTTGAATCATTAGTAGCTCTGTGAGCCATCAATTATTTACATGGAGGTAACGTGTAAATATTGAAATTTGCCAGTGATCTTTGTATATACAGATGTCATCAGCTCAGTTCCTTTGTGCACAAAATACTGAAATCTTCAGTCCACTACACAAGGGCTTTGATGGCGAGTTCCACGTCCAGGTCCTTGGGAGCAGGATCCTGGTCGTGTTCATGTGCTTAAGGTCACTGCCTAGGACTGATTTTGCTTCCTAAAAGCTGCTCAGCAAACAATTGCTGTATGCTACTGTAAAATGAATTAAACGTATGACAAACAAAAGTAGCACTACATGTAACCAGTGTAATTCATATCTGCACCTGATCATATTTATTAAGAACCAGAATTTTAAAACCATTTGACAAAGTTTGAGTCAAAGCATTCTAAGGATCAATGATTTAAAAAAAGAAAACGTGAGAGAAATGTTTATTGAAAAATGAATGAAAATTTCTAATATGTGGAATTAAAAGTATAATCTTAAGGTGAACTTACCTAAATGATAACGGCTAAAGATAATACAGTTTCAAAAAGAAATGTAAAAAGAAAAATAAGATTCCAACTAGTAATCTAGATAGAAATAATACTTAAAATAAGGCATGTGTCCATGTTAAACCACAATAGACAAACATTGCCCAGTTTGAAGTGTCCAGTTCACAAATAAATGCCGAAAGACTTAACAACCAAAGTACCTCAGGAACTAAAAACACTTTAAATAGCAAAATACAATTTCAGCTAGTGTTCAGTAAAATAATTTTAAAATATATGTCAAGATTGTCTATACACAACAGAATTTGAGAAATTAATGTAAATCACTCTAAATTCTAGATAATTAAAAATATTTTAAGTGTCTGTTTATTGAAACATTCTATAAATATGGTGCAAGTCAAGCATTTCAGGAACTCATACCTGCAAAAGAGTTGTTCTGTGGAGCTTCAGAGCCCCCTTCTGGTGGATTTTAGCAAAACATCCTGAACAATAATCTTCACCACATTCCAGGCAAACCTGAAAAGATGCAGTAGATACGTAGATTTTTAGAATCATACAGTCTTATGATACTATGAGTTTGGGAAAATGTCTGCATACAGATAACACTGTATGCATGTTTATTCATGTTTATTCATTTAATTTTATTCATTTTAATTACATACTGAGATGTCAAAAATTGAAAAGCCCATGAAACTAACATTTAACTCGGAAAAACTCGCTTGCAAACACTAATTACTTTACTATTGAAATAAATGTAATAGTTATAATGCAGGCATGAGATACATATATTAGATATACATATATACATAAACTGATAATAAAACAATTAACAACTTCAGATCAAACATCTTGACCTCTTAAAAATCAAACAAATTTCTCTGGGTCAAAATTGTCATTTTATACCTGCTTTTATCTTTCTGTATAAATTTACACGATACAATTAGTTTTAAGCAATGTAGGTAGTATTTTTTCTGAAAATCCCCATTTACACCCATGCTACATATGCCAGCCCTGGTGAGTCTCAGAATAAAGTTCTGAAAATCCTCTTACAAGCATCCCCGAAGGAAACAAAATAGTTGCAAAAAATAGATTGTCACCGGTCAGCAATGTTTATTACTGGTAAAGTGATTATGGCCATATTTATATTTATTTTCTAAATCCTCTAGGATGAGAATACAATCTTAAAATGTACAGGTAAGCTAGGTAATGCAATACACCTATATCTACGATGCGCCAACCAAGAAAAAAGAAGAAAACAGATTTTTCCTGCCGCTGAAGTCATTGCCCTCCCGACGCGGCAAGTGCCCGCGCGCGCGGCTGCACCCTGCTGGCTCCCTCGCCCGGCTGAGCAGGGTGTCAGGCGCAGGGCAGCGCCAGCCCGCGGGCGTGCAGGCAGGCCAAGGCAGGCCCCTTCCGCGGAGCCCCCTCCGTCCTCTCGCGCGGGGAGGCGCA